CAAAGCATCTGGTGGATTTGAACCACATACCTCTGGGATTGCAGTGCAGGGTCTTGCCACTAGGCCACCAGAGCTCCCTGAGTCCTAGTTATTTTATTCATTTAAATGTTTACTGTAAATTAAATTGCTTTCTTAATTTCTTTTTTCAGATTGTTTATTACTGGTGTATAGCAACACAGCTGATTTTTGCTTGTTGACCTTGTATCCTGCTGAATTTATTTATTAGCTCTTATAGCTTTGTTAAGTATTCTTTCCCTAGATCTCCTCAAAAAATGTAACCTCATTGCCATTGAGTCAGAACCGATGCATAACTTCAGTGGGCTTTCAGAGGCAGTAAATTGCACAGAATAAGCTTACCCATCTCTTTCCAGAGGAGTAGCTAGTGAATTTGAACAGCCAGCCTTTGGAGTGGCAGTGCAACTTTCTACTGACTTAAGCCACTAGGGCTCCTCTCCTGTAACTACAGCCCCTCCTTTATATTTGGGCTATTTTTGCACCTCTACACCTCTCCTCTGACCTTACAGCTTTCTTGAACTCCCAGCACGACTCAGCTCTCCACTTCATATCTGAAATCTCTGTCCAATTAGCATAGGACAATGATTCCCAAAGTAGACTCTCCTAGACAACAATTTTTAAAAGCAGATTCCCTAGATTCCATCCAGAAATCATGATTCAACAGGCTGGTTTTAAGAGTTCTGTATGTTCTTAAGAAAGAAGTAGTGACCAGTGTGGTAGAGGAAAGGGTATCTAAGTACTCTAGAGTAGGTATCTAAATTCGATTTCCAGTGCTAGCACTTACAGCTGGATTTAGGACAAGATACTAAATCTCTCTGAATGTGTTTCCTCATGTGGAAAATGGAGAGAATAATGGTATTTATCCCAGAGGATTAAGTAAAATAATACTTTGGAAGCACTTAGTATAGGAGTTGGCACTCATTTAACAAATATAATAATTAGCATAATTATTATTCCTACTATAATGTCATGAAGTCTTATCCCACCCATCGTCAAGAATTCCAACACTACAGCTTGTATTACTTCTCCATCTCCTAAGAAAGAGGATTCTTGCCTTTATGAAGCCATTAGTCCAAACTTCAAGGAGCTCTGGGTGGTCCACAAAAGGCACTGTGGTTTGAATCTACTAGCTGCTCCTTGGGGAAAGATGGACAATCCACCCATGCGATTTATTGTCTCTGAAAAACCGCTGGAGAGTCAGCTATATAGCGGTTCCTCCTCGACAGTACACAGCAAGAGTGGTAAGAAGTTGTGCTGTGAGACCTAAGGCTCTTCTGCAGGGCATCCACCAGATGCCCTGCAGAAGAAATAAGCACAATATAATAATAATAAATTTAAAGTATCTGGAAGCCCTTAGGAGGGTCAGCTATGAGTCAGTTCCAACTTTACATAACACAACAGTCCAAATCGCAATGTCCACAGGCAAAAATGAGGACAATCTTTGCCCTCTTCCCAGCCAGATCTAGGTTGGGAGACCACTGCTTTAAAATCTATGGATGCAACCCTGTTCTTTCAACCATACTCGTCCTCATCCCTCCGCTCCTCCCCTCCTTTCCTTGTGATCTCACACATATTTTACTAGTTACCCTTCAATTTTTACAATAATGGTTCTATGCAGTATTTGTCCTTATGAGATTGAGTTAATTTACTCAGTAAATGCTTTCCAGTCTTTCCCAAGTTATACAGTATTTTCGAAATCATTGCTCCTGAGTGCTGCATAGTATTCCATTGTGTGAATATACAACAATTTCTCAATCCTTTCAGTTGTGGTTGGACATTTGGGCCGTTTCCATGTCCTTGCAATGATGGGTGAAGAGAGTGGTTGAAGGAAATGGGAAGGATTCAGGTGAAAAAACAGGGTAATAATGGGCAAGGTCCAATGGTAATTAATTTTGTAAAACACAATGCATGAGAATGATTGTATGAAACACAATATGAATGAATACGAACTTTGTAAGCAAACCAATACAAAATAGATTTTTAAAAATATGGATGCAACCACGTCAACAAAGGAAGTCAACAGCCTCAATTACCATGGAGTGCCCCTCCCTTCCTTCCCTAGAAGACCACCCACCTGGGTAAACCACAATCGAATGTCCCTCCCTTCCCTTCCTAAAGACCCTTACTATAAAACCTGCCCTTATCCACTTTAGGGCGTGTTATTTGCCTGGTCTGTCCCTCTGCCTGTTTCTCTCTCTACAGACCAAGGAATCCCGCCCTGGAGACCCCTTAATAAAACTGTTTTAGCTTCCTTTAAAAATAAATAAATAAATAAATAAAAAATGGATGCAGCAACTGCAATGTCATCTGTAGACGGGAGAGGGTAGCAAAGGGTCAGGAAAGGCGCTTGAGCTGGACGGAGGGACTAGGGAAAGGAAACTCAGAGGGAGGGGGCTGTATGTTTGCATGAGAGAAAGGAAGGTATGTGGGCTAATTGCATGTGCTCTTCTTCCTCTAGAAGGGTTCTTATTTCCTCACTGAGGAGTGAGAAGTGAACTCCTCCCAGTGGAGGAGCTTGTACCCATTGCATGTCTACATCCCTTGGAAGAGTCCATTTCATCAGTGTAGTCAGAGGTCTCTCAGTAGTATTTATTCCCCCTCAAAGGGGTCATGCCTCCTTAGTAAAGTGTGTCTACTAGAGTATCTCTGTCTACTAGAGGTGTTCCTTCAGTGGGGTCAATGCCCTTTTATGACATTCATATCCCATTCACAGGGTACACAGAGCTTCAGGGGGACCTTAGGTCAAGATCTGTGTTCCCTTCATGGGATTTGTATAACCTCAGTGAAGTCTTCAATAAGATTTATGACGCCTTGATTAGGTACCTACCCCCCAATGAGGTCCATCTGTGAGCTCTGCACCCCTTTGAAGGACCCTGAGTATCTTCTCGCCATTATTGAGTAGACTTTGATAGACTTTGACCACGTGGTGATTCTTGTTTCCCCCTCTTCCTTACTTTGAGTGAACTGAACTTATAGTCAGTTGGACAATACACGGAATGCACTGGTGCGGAAGGAGGCTAAGCAAGATGGGGTCACAGCCCTTTATAGGTTTCAGGAGGTAGGAGTTGCTTACTTCTGCCCTTAGAATCACTCTTGTCGTTAGATGTTCCTTCCTGCCTTGACAGCTAGTCTGTAGAGTAGGGTCTTCTTGACAGTGAGTTCAGGAAACCAGAGGTAATTGAGTCGAGATTGTGGTGTGTGTTTTACTGCAGAGAGTGCTTGGTAGAGATTGGGAGGAAGGAAATGTGAATGATTCCCCCTATTTAAATGGACTTTGGTATTTTATAAGCTTTAAGCTTTAACTTCAGCCAAACGGAGCAATAGAAACTGTAGACAGAGCAGTAGACCTGAGGTCAGAAGACCTCAGTCTGGCCTTAATATGGTCGTTACTTGCTCAGTGAACTTGTGCAATTTCCTTCCTTTCCCTGGTTACCATTTGTGGGTTTATGAGCAAAGACATGAAAGGGCCGCTTAGTTTTCACTTAACAAGCCTGCCTCTTTGGATCTGGCTGGAGGTGTGTGGTGGCAAGATATATCCTCAGGGGTGGGAGAGACTCTGAGTTGGGCCCAGGGAGACTCTGTCCTCCCACAAAAGTTTTCAAGTTTTCCTGAGAACCGTGAAGGAGGAATGGTTCTGCTCCAAATTTCTGAGAATAATTTCTGGGAGGAAAGGGTGTCGCTAGGAAAGGATCCTCCTCCATTTGACTTTCTAACTCAGTGGGGTGACTGGTTGTGCAATCAGAGCATAGGCTTAACTCAATTCCTCTAGTTAGTCCAACTGTTTCTTGCCAGAGCCTGCCCTACTATCACCCAACCTCTCATCTGGCACTCCAAGATCCCATCCCACTCCAGTCACTCCACGGCTTTGCTTCCTGTCCTATTATAGTTAGTCCTGCCACTCCCTGTCACTCCACGGGACCCACCTCCTCGCCTGTCATGCTTAGCTCCGCCTCTTCTCGGTCATTTTGGGGTTCTACCAACTCTCAAACCCAGCCCTGCCCCTTCTGCTGTCACTTACGGCCCCACCCCTTCCGGGAAGTAAACTCCGCCCCCACCCTCTGATTTTTGCCTATCACTGACTTCGCTAGATCTAGTACCGCCCCGGGCTGCCGAAGCCCCGCCTTCACCCGCAGGCCCCTCCCCTCCCAGTAGGCCCCGCCTCTAGGCTGGCCTATTCCCCCCGCCTGGGCCCTGGCGGCGACCGCAAAGGCAGCCACTGAGCTCTGAACTTGACACGATGGGGCTTCCTGAGGAGCGTGGCCGGAGCAGCGGCAGGAGCGGGCACAGAGAGGAGGCTGGAACCGGGAGCCGGGCACGGAGTTGGTCTCCGCCGCCCGAGGTCAGACGCTCGGCGCACGTTCCCTCCCTGCAGCGCTACCGCGAGCTACACCGGCGCTCCGTGGAGGAGCCGCGGGGTGAGGCCCGGTCACCGAGGGCCCGGGGGCCATCAGTGAAGAGGGGCATGAAGAATTGGGGGCGTTCCGTGGAAATAGCGGTTCTATGAGGAGCTGGGGTTCCATTAGGCAATAGGGGCCTTCTGAGAGTTCTTCGGGGTGTTGAGAGGTCCATGAGAAGAAGGGGGTTCTGTGAGGATATAAGGATTCCCCGAGAGTTCTCTGGTAACTTGGAAGATTAATGAGATATGGTTTTCCATGAGGAAGTGGGGGTTCTGTGATGGGTGCAGGGTTCCATGGACGATGAACTGAGGTTCCTTGAGGAGATGGGAAGGGGGTTCAGTGAAGATAAAGTTTCGAGAGAAGAGTTGATTTCTGAGGCATTCTAAGGGGGGACGGATGCCTTGAGGTCACAAGAACCTTCTTTGCCTCCCTTTCACACCAAACTTCAGTCATTGCATCCTGAGACCTCCACTCCAGCCTGTGCATGAACTGGGTCTGGTGAGGACCAGGATCTAGTTCTCCTCCTGCTCCCCCAAGTCCTAGAGCTAATTGGAAGGGTACTGGTGGCTCAGTGGTTAAACCACACCACTGCCAATCAAAAAGGGCAGTAGTTGGAACTCATCAACTGCTCTTTGGGAGGAAAAAAAAAGTGGCAGTTTGTTTCGTTAAAGATTTACAGCCTTGGAAGCCACATGGTGCTGCTCAGCTCTTGTAGGGAGCTGAGCCAGAAATTGACAGAAGCAAGTTTGGTTTTTTGATGTTTTGATATTTCAGAAAGGCTGTGGAAATGTCCCAATATAACACTGAACAAGTCACTACAGTATTGATTTTGGTTGGTTTTCCTTTTAATTTGGGTTGAGATTATTTAACAACTCAGAAATTCTTTTAAATGTCTCCATCTCCTTAATAAAAATGTGTGAGGTTATTCCCTACCCTTGCTCTCAGGATAAGTTATTCTTGAGTTAGATCAAAACTACATCCCAGGTGGAAGGCAGCATGTGTTTGTTAGTAGAATAAGCATGGCTCTAGAAAAATCTAAAATGCCTCTCATTTGCTGTAAAACCACAACAGTAGTAAAGAACCTATTGCCGTCTAATCATTTCTGACTCTCTGTTACAGAGAAGATTCACCATAAAATTTTCTTGGCTGTAATATTTATAAAAGCAAGTTACTAGGACTTGCTGGTGCTGCTAGATGGATTTGAACCATCAACCTTTAGGTTAGAACAGCACAAACTATTTGCACCACCCAAAGACTTAAAAATAAAAACAGAGAATTCCCAACCAATGTCTCAAAATGTTGAGAGGAAAACCAATTTGTTCATTGAAACATTTTTGAAAACCCAAAACTTGTTGCCGTGGAGTGTTTTCTGACTCATGATGACCTCTTGTGTTGAGATAGGACTGAGCTCTATTACGGTTTCCTTGGCTATAATATTTATGGAAGCCCGTTTCAAGTTCTTTCCCAATACGACTGAGTAGATTTGAACGCCAATCTTTTTGTTAGTAGACAAGTGTAAACCATTTGTGCCATTTAGGGACTTTAATTCATTCACTCACTTACTGCCACTAAGTCAATTCCAACTCATAGTAACCCTCAGTTGTGCTTCTAGGGCTAAAAATCAGTTTACTGCTAAGGAGTTGTGTTGCCAATCCCAAGTATGAAGTTTGAATCTATCAGTTGTTTCATCAGAGAAAGATGAGCAATCTCCTGTGCGATTTACTGCTTTTTAAAACCACTGGAAGGTCAGCTAACTCAGTTTTGACCCAACAAGGACATATCAACAACAAATCTTATAAGAACATGCCCATCTTTCTCCTTTGGGGACTGATAGTGAATTTGAACCAGTGAAGACCTATGATCTTTTGATTAGCTGTCCAGCACCTGGAACCACACCATCAGAATACTCCTAAAGACTTTAGGCAGATTTAAAAGTGTATCACATTCCCTGTTGTTCACGTATGTTGATTGATTGTTGATTGCCTTCAAGTCAAGTATGGCTCATAGCGACCCCATGAACAAAGGGCCTGAAGCCCCTCTACAAGCATAGACATTTATCAAAGTTCATAGTTTCTAGAGGCATGTTATTTAGGAAGTGGATGTCACTCCTGCTTCCAAACCTGTCAAAGTATGTTATTGTTATGTGCCACTGAATTGCCTGTGAGGTATGTACAGCAGGTCTGAACCCTTCCTTATCCTGAGCCAGTCTCACTAACTCTGACACACCAACCCCCATTGTTCCAGACTGTATCAATCCATCTCCTCTCCTGTACTGTCCGTCCACCCTTCTGAGCATGATGTCCTTCTCCAAGGACCAATCTCTCCTGGCCATGTGCCCAAAGTAAATGAGACGGAACTTCAGAATCCTAGCTTTCAAGGAAAGACTTGGTTTCACCCTCTCCAAGACAGACCTGTTTGTTTTCTTGGCAGTCCATGGTATGTTCAAGACTCTTCTTCAGCACCACAACTCAAAGGCATCTATTCTTCTGTCTTCTTTAGTCATTGCTCAATTCTCCGAAGCATAACAAGTAATTAAGAAGACCGTGGCCTGGATTAGGCACACTTTTGTGTCTAGACTGACAAGACTGACATCATTGCTATTCAACACTCTGGAGAGGTCCATGACAGCAGATTTTCCCAACACAATTCATCTTTTGATTTCTTGACTGCTGGTGTTAAGAGTGTTGATTGTGAAAAAAAAAAGAAAAAAAAATTAAAAAAAAAAAGAGTGTTGATTGTGGATCCGTGCAAGCTGTAATTGCTAACAACTTCAATCTCTTCTCCATCTACTATGGTGCTGCCAATGGGCCCAATGGTGAGAATCTTTGTCTCTTGATGTTGAACATCAATCCATATTGAAGACTATAGTCCTTGACCTTTTGCAGCAAGTGCTTCGGGTCTTCTTCAGTTTCGGCAAGCAAGGTTGTGTCATCTGCATATCATAGGTTGTTAATGAGTTTTCCTCCAATCTTGATGCCACACTCCTTCTCATAAAGCCCTGCTTCCCGAATGATCTGTTCTGCATATAGATTGAAAAGGTACAGGGACAGGATGCATCCCTGATGCACTCCTTTCTTTATTTTGAACTATGCAGCTCTGTTTTGAGGACTGCTTCTTGGTCCAAGTATAGGTTTCGTATGAGCACGATCAAGTGCCCTAAGATTCCTGTTTTCCTCAAGGTTAGCCACAATTTATTGTGAAACACACAGTCAAATGCCTTTGCATAGTCAATGAAACACAGATAGACACTTTTCTGGTACTATACTTTCTGCCAAGATCCATCTGACATTGGCAATAATGTCCCTAGTGCTACGACCTCTTCTAAACCCTGTTTGTATTTCCGGTAGATCTCTGTCAAGGTACCGTCAAGTTTTTTCTGGATAATTTTCAGCACAATTTTGCTAGTGTGTGATACTAGTGATATTGTTTGATAATTTCTATGCTCTGTCAGGTCACCTTTTTTTGGAATGGGAGTAAATATGGATTTCTTCCAGTCAGTTGGCCAAGTAGTTGTCCTCCAGATTTCTTGGCACAACTTGGTGAGCACATGCAGGGCAGCATCTGTTTGCTGAAATATGTCAATTGGTATTCCATCAATTCCTGGGGCTTTATTTTTTTCCAAGTCCTTCAGAGCAGCATGCACTGCCTCCTTCATCACTATTGCCTCTTGATTATATGTTGTTTCTTGAAATTCTTATGTGTTAGCCAATTCTTTTTGGTCCAATGACTCTATATATTCCTTCCATCTTTTTTTTCCCCTTTTAATGGACATTTACATTTACAGAGATTTTGGATTTCCA